GCGGCGCCGCTGAGAGAAAGAGTAGCGCGCCACTCCAAGGTAAAACTGGAAGAAGTCTCGAGCGGGAGCGCTGGTTTTGTTGGGACTTCGGACTTCGGCTTTCGGCAGCGAGCAAGAGCACTGGCCCTGAGTAAAAAAGGAGGAAGTCTCGAGCGGGAGCGTTGTTGTTGTTGGGGGGGCCGGTTTGGCGCCCCCCCAAACCGCTCGAGCATGAGCCTCATTTTCAATGAACATGTAGACGGCGCCGAGGCGAGAGCGCCAAAGCGCCTGGGGGGGGTCCAACAAAAATAATTGTTTAGCAGTTGACACTCAACAACAACAACCACCACCACCACCACCACCACCACCACAACAACAACAACAACAACAACAACAACAACAACAACACCAACAACAACAACAACAACAACAATACCAATAACAATAACAATAACAATAACAACACCAACAACACAAACACCACCAGCAACAACAAAAACAACAACAACGACAACCACCACCACCACCACCACCACCACAACAACAACAACAACAACACCACCACCACCACCACCAACAACAACAACAACAACAACAACAACAACAACAACCACAACTGCACGAGGCTGCCCGTCGTGGGCTCTTCTTTACGCCACGCGAGGGCGCCCAAGCTGCACACGGTCGCCCGCCGTCATGGGTTCTTCTTTACGCCACGCGAGGGCGTCCACGCGAGGCCGTCGCGGGCTCTTCTTTACGCCACGCGAGGGCGTCCGGGCACGGAGCTCCGCCCGGCGGCCACGCTACGCGCAGCACGCCGCACGCGGCGCACCAGCGCGCGGAGCTCCGCACGCCGACCGACCACGCGCGGGGGGGCCGACGCGGGTGAGCGCTCGCCGAATCGTGGGGGCCGACGCGTGCCGAGCCGGCACGCCGCGCATCGATACGGACCTAGGAAGGCACCAACTATACACCAACACCGATCCTGGCCCAGGATCACCCTGGGCCCAGGATCGGTGTATACGCCCTCCTGCCTTGCGCAAGAAGGCATATACACCGATCCTGGGCCCAGGGTGATCCTGGGCCAGGATCGGTGTTGGTGTATAGTTGGTGCCCTCCGAGGACCGCCTGGGGCACCCCGCGTGCTGCGTTGCAGAAGACTTTTTTGATCCGCGGGTCGAGAGCGAGCCTCCTCCGACAGGAGCTCAGCGGGCCACGCGCAGCTTGAATCAGCAGAGGGGGGGGGGCAAGAGAAGGCGGGGCCTCACGTCAAGGCCAGGAGAGGGCAGAGCCCTGGGATCAGGCGGTGCCGAAATCAAAGTGCAGGAAAAGGTACGCCTTGGACAGGAACCGCGTTTCAGAGAACGCGGGCGCGTCGAGGCAGCCACAGCCGGCCCGTATCGGGAGGATGCGCGGCATCGGGATGCGCCAGGGCCTCGAGCGCACTTCCCGCAGCCTCTCGGGCGGGGTGCGGCCAACGAGCGCGGCCAAGGGTGGACCGCGGAGGCAAGGACCAGAGGCACAAAAAAGCACACGAGCATACACTGTTGGAGGTCCGCGCGAGTGTCTTGGACCCGCGCCGAACCCCCCTCCCCGGCGGGGGAGCGCGCCAGGGGCCTGCGGCGGGGGGCCCAAGCGCGGATGCAAGGAGCCCGCGCGGAGAGCCAAAAGTTTTATGCTCATGGCGTTCTCGTTTCTTCGGAGGATGCAAGCTGGCCATCGCTCGGACGTCCATTCCCTGTGTGTTGTTCGGTTTCGCGTGTGGCTTGTTCGCCAAATGATCAAGGATGTTCCTAGAGGGTCCCCGCCGAAGGAAAAATGCACACGTCCGAGCGATGCCAAGCAAGTGTACCCTTGGGAAGGCTGCACATCACTGCTGTGCGAGCTGACTCTGAGGCCCTACCCGGTCCTCCCGACGTCGCGATTCTGTCAACGGCGTCGACCCCCAGAAATCTGGACCCCTTCCCCAGGACAGGCTCTTCATCCCGAGCCGTCTCTTGACGGCCCGGAGGTCCTGTAAGGACCCCCCCGAGGCCGAGAACAAAGGAACACGTCCCGTCGTGAGCTCTTCGCAGCGCAAGGGGGTCTTGTTTTTTCTTCCTCTGAAGGAGGCCGAACCTGGACCAAAACCTTCGTCGCGACTTTTTGTCCCCAACCATCCTGTGGTGTTGGGTCTTCGTTTTGAAGAGACAGCGCCCCGCGTCCCTTCCTTCCTTCCTTCCTCCTCCCCCTCCTCCCTCCTCCCATCCCTGCCTCTGCCCTGCGCATGTCCTCGTCGTCGTCGTCGTCATCATGATCAGCATCTTCAGCATCGTCAGCATCATCAGCATCATCATCACCATCATCATCATCATCATCATCATCATCATCATCATCATCATCGTCATCGTCATCGTCATCGTCATCGTCATCGTTATCGTCATCGTCATCATCGTCATCATCATCATCCTCATCATCATCATCATCATCAGCATCATCATTATCATCATCATCATCGTCATCATCATCATCACCAGCATCATCATCATCATCATCATCATCATCATCACCGACGTCATGATCACCACCCATATTGTCACCATTATCGCCACCAATTTCGCCACACCACTTACACGTTTCGTGGCCCCACAGATAGCCCCATACGAGGCCTCAATGGCGGTGTTCGCATGCGTCTCCCCCACCCAGCACAAGGTTTCGCGGCCCCATAGGGAGCCCCACCTAAGGCCCTGGTGGCGGAGTTCGCATGCGTCTCTCCCACCCAACACAGCGCTTCGCTGGCCCCATAGGGAGCTCCACATAAGGCACCAGTGGCGGTGTTCGCATGCGTCTCCCCCGCCCAGTACGGCGTTTCGTGGCCCCACATCGAGCTCCACTTCAGGTCCCAGTTCGCATGCGTCCCCCCATCCAGGACAACGTTTCGTGGCCCTACGCGGAACTCCACCGAAGGTCCCAGTGGCGGTGATCGCATGCGTTTCCTCCCCCACCCAGGACAGCGCTTCGTGGCCCCACAAGGACTTCCACCTAAGGTCCCAGTTGCGGTGTTCGCACGCGTCTCCCCCATCCAGGACAACGTTTCGTCGCCCCACCGGGAGCTCCACTTGAGGCCCCAGTGGCGGTGTTCGCATGCGTCTCCCCCACCCAGGAAAGCGTTTCGTGGCCCCACATCGAGCTCCCCCTACGGCCCCAGTGGCGGTGTTCGCATGCGTCTCCCCCACCCACGATAGCGTTTCATGGCCCCACATCGAGTTCCACCTACGGCCCCAGTGGCGATGTCCGCATGCGTCTCCCCCACCCAAGGCAGCGTTCGCGGCCCCACATCGAGCTCCACCTACGGCCCCAGTGGCGGTGTTCGCATGCGTCTCCCCCACCCACGATAACGTTTCATGGCCCCACATCGAGTTCCACCTACGGCCCCAGTGGCGATGTCCGCATGCGTCTCCCCCACCCAAGGCAGCGTTCGCGGCCCCACATCGAGCTCCACCTACGGCCCCAGTGGCGGTGTTCGCATGCGTCTCCCCCACCCACGATAACGTTTCATGGCCCCACATCGAGTTCCACCTACGGCCCCAGTGGCGATGTCCGCATGCGTCTCCCCCACCCAAGGCAGCGTTCGCGGCCCCACATCGAGCTCCACCTACGGCCCCAGTGGCGGTGTTCGCATGCGTTTCCCCCTATCCAGAACAGCGTTTCGTGGTCCAACAGGGAGCTCAACCCAAGGCCGTAGTGGCGGTGTTCGCACGCGTCTCCCCCACCCAGGGCAACGTTTCCTGGCCCCACATCGAGCTCCACTTAAGGCCCGAATGGCGGAGTTCGCATGCGTCTCCCCCACCCAGGACGCCGTTTCGTGGCCCCACATCGAATTCCACGTAAGGCCTCGGTGGCGGTGTTCGCATGCGTCCCCCCCAGTCAGGACAACGTTTCCGGGCCCCACAAGGACTTCCACCCAAGGCCCCCGTGGCGATGTTCGCATGCGTCTCCCCCGCCAAGCACAATGTTTCGTGGCCCCACAGAGGAGCTCCACCTCGGGCCCCAGTGGCGGTGTTCGCATGCGTCTCCCGCTCCCAGGGCAGCGTTTCGTGGCCCCACATGAAGCTCCACTTAAGGCCCGAATGGCGGAATTCGCATGCGTCTCCCGCACCCAGGACAGCGTTTCGTGACCCCACACGGAGCTCCACCGAAGGCCTCGGTGGCGGTGTTCGCATGCGCTTCCCCACCCAAAACAACGTTTCGTCGCCCCACCGGGAGCTCCACTTGAGGCCCCAGTGGCGGTGTCCGCATGCGTCTCCCCCACCCAGGACAGCGTTTCGTGGCCCCACATCGAGCTCCCCCTACGGCCCCAGTGGCGGTGTTCGCATGCGTCTCCCCCACCCACGATAGCGTTCCATGGCCCCACATCGAGCTCCACCTACGGCCCCAGTGGCGGTGTTCGCATGCGTCTCCCCCACCCAAGGCAACGTTTCCTGGCCCCACATCGAGCTCCACTTAAGGCCCGAATGGCGGAGTTCGCATGCGTCTCCCCCACCCAGGACACCGTTTCGTGGCCCCACATCGAGCTCCACCGGGGTGGAGCGACCTGCGGAGCTGCGGAGCCCTGCTTGGCGTACTGCAAAGCAGGCACCGCCTCGTGGCCCTCAGGAGACACCCTCACACAATTCGCGCCCCCCCATAAGAACCCCACCGAAGATTATCCGTGCGATCGCGGCACCTACAGCTGAATCTGGTTGGGTCCTTCGCCGGACCAATTTCTTTCCCCAGCGCGAAGGGGGTCTGCATGGGTACGGCCCTCCGTCGCCCAGTCCTGGGGCGGCCCGGCGGCAGCCCGGCGGCGGCCCGCCCCTCTGGAGGGCACCATCTGCGCGCGCCACGGCCCGCCCCCCGCGGGCGCCCCGCCTCAGGCAGCCATACTATGGGGCCCGGGCCGCCGCCCGCCCCCCGCGCTCGCCCGCGGGAGGCCCGCCTGCGAGCTGCGCCACGAGAAGGTGTACACGGGCACCCTCCCTCGAGTGTTTGGCGTGCGTGTCTCC